TGTCTTTCAATCAGACAGAACAGCCTGTTCTTTTTTCACCTGCCAAAAAGTTGTTCCCAATAGTGACTTTCAGATGCTTATGTGAAAATCTAATGCATTCTATATGATCTCTCTGGCCAGATAAGCTTGTGTATGAAGTATTCTGCTAGCAGTGTTACAAAGCCATTACCAAGGCTCATTGTCCATCAAGGCCTACCTTCATTCAGGATGGGGCAAGTTATTTTGCAAAGTGCAGATCTTTCAACGACATATCCAGTTCAAGTGAAATATCCTGACATCTTTTGGGAGACAAATATTGCAAGCCTAGTGTCTAACTTTCAGACTTGGCTTGCTGTAAATTTTCTCATTTAGATGATGGAACAAGGGGAATTTAACAAAGATGGAACAATAATTATATATAGTGGAAATGGCAATAGCACTTAGACTTATATACCGCTTCACAGTACTTTACAGCTCTCTCCAAACGGTTTACAAAGTCAGCATATTTCCCCTCCCAACAATCTGCACCCTCATTTTACCAACCTCAGAAGGATGGAAGGCTGAGTAACCTTGAGCTGGTGAGGATTGAACTCCTGGCAGTCAGCATATAGTGGGCACTTTGGAGAAGAGTCAGTTCAGTACAATGGTTAAGGCACCAGGCTAGAAACCAGGAGATTGTGAGTTCTAATCCTACTTTAGCCAGGAAAATTAGCTTGGTAACTTTGGGCCAGTCATTATCAGTCCAACTCACCTCACAGGGTTGCTGTTGTGTGAGGAAAATAGGAGAATAAAGGATTATTAAATATATTAGCTGTTACTGATGAAAAAATAAAGGCAGGAAATAGTTAAGGAAACTTAAGAAAAGGGTAACTAAACACATAATTTTAAAAAAAGACTTTCTTATAAACAGAATAACAAGAGGTAGGAGTCCTGGCAGAAACTAGCCATGAAGAGAGAGGGGTGATATGCGACAAGCATCTATTAAGCCTGCTCAAATGGATTCTTTCCTTACCTTTAACAAATCAACAGGCTATTAGGACCAGCTATTCACAGAAAAGATTTTAGAAATATTTATTTGGCTTTGCATAATATTTATTGTAGATTTATTTACAAAACTATATTATTTGCAAGCTGCTTTAGAAGGATTGCTATCCTAAAAGTCAGGACATAACAAATGTTAAGAAATAATTAATCTAGCAGACAGAAACATGATTCTATCTGAAAATAACATTAAATTTAACAGACATATGCAATATTAGGGGAAAAAAAGAAACCAAATCTGCAATTACAGAATGGGGAATACTTGGTTTGGTTAAAAAAAAATGAAAGATAGCTCAAAGGAAGAACAAGAGAAATATAAATCATTGCTGCAAAAAAATTGAAATACAGGATTGGCTCACATCAATAAAATTAAACTACCCAAATTAAGGGACGTAAATATTTCCATTCTCTTCTGCTCTAGTCAGATCCTATATTAAGTACTATCTAGTTTTAGCACCACCTGTTAAAAGGGATTCAGACAAATTCAAACAGATGCAAATAAACAGAATGACAGAATACTAGAAACCAAATCTTATAACAAAAAAAATCAGAGTAGTTTTAAGAAAATATGACAGAGAATGTCTATGATAATATCCTTCTAATACCTGAGGAAAGATCACATTGAGGAAGTATTACCTGCCCTATTATTCCAGAGAGCAAAACACAAAGCAACAGTTTTGAATTACAAGAAAGCAAATTCCACTTGAATATTAGGCACTTCATCATGGTAATGGTACAGAACCAATTCCTTACAGAAGTGCAGACTTCCCTTGCCTGGGGAGAAGAGGCCAAATGAGAGATGCTTTAATAGAACTAGTGTCAAGGTTCTGAATGACGAAGCCAACCAAGCAAACACCTTCGAGACATTCCAATCTCTTAATGTAAAATTTTATTGAATACATCACTTTGGCACTAATGAAAGCAAAACCAGCTCCGGCAAGACCCCTCCCAAACCCATATAGTAAAAGCTTTGAATTCTCCCTCCTTCCTCTGAGTCAGGTCATGTTGCCCAATCAAGTAGAAAAATATTGTTAAGAGAAAGCATATCTAGATCTGGCCAGACACCTGGTGTAATGTCCCTGTCTCACAGTCTGGCTTCTTAATATTTGAAGTCTGCATTCCAAACCTCTCCCCTCAGCCCAAGTTCATTGGCAAGTTGAGAAGCAGTATTCGTCGCACCAATAGTGCTTCAAAACTTGACAACTAGTTTGGTCTAGTGGTTAAGGTCTGAGGCTAGATACCAAGAGACTGTGAGCTCTAGTCTCACCTTAAGCATGAAAGTCGGCTGGATGACTTTGGGCCAGTCACTTTCTCTCAGCCCAATCCACCATACAGGGTTGTTGTGCAGGGAAAATGGAAGAGGCAGGAGTATTTATTTATAAATTCCTGCACAGAACTAAGTTTGAGTCCAGTCCATTTCTATGATTCTGTAATTCCTAAGTGACTACAGAGCAAAAACATTTAAAATGTTTATTTGAAGGAAAACCGAATCAGAAATATTTTTGAAAATTTATATATTTGGGACTGTGCTTTCGGTAACCTAAACATTCTGGTTAAGTTCACCTGTGATTCAAGTTATCGTCGTTGAGTTTTAATTTATGCTTATTTAGTAAACAACCATACAGCATATATGTATATAGCAAGTTGGCAAAGTCTCAGTCAAGCCTCAAGAGAGAGACAGCCATTTTCCATCCCAAAGAGTACCTTCCTAGCTGATCCTGGGATCAGAGAATGTGTCAAAAATTCAAAAAGGTGGATTGAATTACTTACAGGATAGAAGTGGTCCTTAGGTGCACAGAATTGCATAACACAAAGCAGCAAATGTAAGGCATTCAGTTTAAAATATCTCATGGCTACAGGGACCACAAGCATTATTGTTTTTGTAGTTTGCAAATCTCGTACGCTCACTGGCAGCTTCTTGTTCTCTTGAAAAGAGGTCACTTATTTGGTTACTTCAGAAAGTAGATGAATGCAAATGATTATGAAAACATTTAAAGTACTTGGTTTGCTCAATGGATTTATCACTGATTTGACAATTATAAGAAATCCATAGAACAGGCGTAGGCAACCTTGGCTCTTTTATGACTCGTGGACTTCAACTCCCAGAATTCCTGAGCCAGCTATGCTGGCTCAGGAATTCTGGGAGTTGAAGTCCACGAGTCATAAAAGAGCCATGGTTGCCTATCCCTGCCCTAGAACAAAATAATTCTACTGCTCTTTGGCATTCATGAAGGCCAACTTCATGGCATGGACCTATGGGGGAGGGCTGGAAGCTAAAGTTGAGTTTTGCAAAGGATGCCATATGTGCATCTATTCTTTTGCATAAAGTTTGCCCTATGTATAATCCAAAGGATATTGCTGACAGATAGTGCTGTGACACTGGAGGAAAAGTAATGCGAAGGTGTATAAAAGCAAAATAGTAATTTCCAGAATTAGAAACAAAGTTAAAACAAACAAACTTTGTCTTAGCAGTTAATAGATATGTTTCCTGATAGAAATCAGAAAGATGCTGCATGCATTAGGTACATGTAACATTAACCATGGAAAAGTGTATTACAGAAGGTACTGCTGACTGCTGTCAGGAACTATCTAAAAAAGTCCCTATTTTATAGCCACCTTTGCAGACTTTGCACCTCTAAAAGACTCATGCCACCTGTCAAGCTGTGAAAAATACCTATGCTGTGGCATCCATTACTGCTTCTTAACTTGCCTGCAGATTCGGGGGGGGGGGGGGGAGAATCAAATGCAGGCTTCAGACATCGGACTGCCAAGGCATGAGAACCAAGATCGCTCAGAGTTGTTTACTGAGAACTAAAACACTCTCTCATAATAATTGTCTGACACTTCATTGGACAATGTGACTATTTGGGGGAAGGGAGTGGCGAACCTATGCCACGGGTGCCAGCGGTGGCGAACCTATGGCACGAGTGCCAGAGGCGGCACTCAGAGCCCTCTCTGTGGGCACGCGCGCTGACTCCCCAGTCCTATGCCTTCAGCTGGGTTTTATAAAACCTTTTTGCTTTAGGCCTCCGCCACTGTGTACAAAAAAAAAAAGGTTCAATCAATCAGTCAATTTTAACTTCTTGTGGGAAAAAAAATCTTGCAAAGTTGGAATTGATTGATTGAACTTTTTAGTCCCACCCAGTCTGCTGTTACCACCGCAGCCACCCAATGGGCCACACCCACCCGGCACCCGACGATGCATAAGTGGGTTTTGGGTTGCAGTTTGGGCACTTGGTCTCTAAAAGGTTCGCCATCCCTGCTCTATACTTTTAATATATTGATTTTGGTGCTAACTAACCAGAGCTGGTTTTTCTTTCATCCGTGCCAAAATTATGTGCTCAATAATGTTTGGCATTAGAGATTGCATCCTCTCAGCTATGCTTATTTCGTTGGGTTTGTCAATCGGAACCTTGACACCACCTTTGCAAGTGGTCAGCTGTTACTTTTTTAAAAATAAAAATGCATGGTAACTGATCAAGATCAAAGTAATCACATGTGGGAGGTGAGCAAACCTATCTAAAGCTATCTAAATAATAGAATGTCAATAAACTTTAACCATATCATATAAACATCACTGTAATGAAACAACACAATGTATCAAGATTTATAACAACATAAAAAAAAAGACAACAAATCCCTCCACTTTTTGTCTAAACATTATTTCTGCTTAAAACAATCTTGAAGCACTCAAGATAATCTGATATCCCACCTCATTATCTACTCAGACCAATAACTGTTTAACCATGAGACAAGCATGCTAAATTCATACAACATGCAAAACCATGATTATACTAAATAAAGCAAGGATAAATGATTCTACAAATTATTATATTTGTTTAAACTCTAATCTTTGTACAGATGATATGCTAAATTCAACTCCAATATGGATGGCTGTCATACAAATTTAGTATAAATGCTGCAGAAAAAAATGAGAAAATTGAATGTAAATAAGATAATTGACAAGAGCCATTACTTACATTCGTCCTATACCTTCATACATCCTCGTTTCTTCAGCCAAAGTCATGATCTCTGTGTCTGTAAGATGTGCATGCTTTTTTGTTCTGTTCAGCTGATCTATTTGTATATCTGCCAGTTTCACCTTTTGTTGGGTTTCAATGACCTTAGCTTGAAGTTCAGAAAATGCCTGACATGGAGAACAATACAAATGTAATTTTTTTAAAAAAATCTGTAACAGTCTTCACTCTTCACAAAAACCTCTGAGATTTTTATTTAGGTTGTCCTTGACTTACAACCACAATTGAGCCCAACATTTCTGTTGTTAAGTGAGAAACTCATTTTAAGTGAGTTTTCTTCCCTTTTAACCACATTGCTTGCCACAGTTGTTAAGTGAATCATTGCAGTTAAGTTAGTAACACGGTTGTTAAGTGAATCTGGCTTCCCCTTTTACTTTGTCAGAATATATCACAAAAGGTGGTCACATGACCTCAGGACACTGCAACTATCAAATATGAGTCACTTGCCAAACGTCTGAATTTTGATCATATGACCAAAGGGATGCTGCAATGGTTGAATGTGAAAAATGGTCATAAGTCACTTTTTTCAGTGCCACTGTAACTTTGCACAGTCATTAAATGAACTGTTGTAAGTCAAGGACCACCTGTAATGCACATTTTAATTTTTTTAGCAGATATCTAACTAACTATTTATTAAAAGAGAAAAGCCAGGACAACTTCAGAAAGTCTAATGAATAGTGGCTGACACCATGGTTAAAATGGCAATAGAACAGAACTTCTTTTCCCCCCTACTGCAATCTCTTACCAACAGGAAGTACTGTATATTTAAACATCAGATAAATTAAAGATGTAAAATATGCACCAAACATCTAAAATATTAAAGAAAAAAACAGAAATAATACTGGGTGAAAACAAGTATGCGTGCAAGACACAAATCTGTTCCAATCATCAAATAAGTAATCTGGTATAGCAGTGATGGCGAACCTTCTAGAGACCGAATGCCCAAACTGCAACCCAAAACCCACTTATGCATTGTTGGGTGTCAGGTGGGTGTGGCCCATTGGCTGGATGTGGCCCATTGGGAGGGCGTGGCTGTGGTGGTAACGGCAGACTGGGTGGGACTAAAAAGTTCAATCAATCAATTCCAACTTTGCAAGAAATTGATTGAACCTTTTTTTTTGCACACGGCAGCGGAGGCCTAAAGCAAAAAGGTTTTATAAAACCCAGCAGAAGGCCTAGGACTGGGCCTATGGTGCGCGTGCCCACAGAGAGGGCTCTGAATGCAGCCTCTGGCACCCGTGCCATAGATTCGCCACCACTGCGGTATAGCACTTTTTTAATCAGATTAAATAATTCAGGGAATGTTGAGAAAAAATGAGAATTGTCCACAGGGGGCCTGCATCACAGATCTGAGGACATAGTTTACTGGTAAAAATATTTACTATGCATTATATAATTATAAAAACAATTCTGCAAGGTAAATGGTGAGTACTATTCACTCTGCTGTACATTTGCTCTACATTCTACAAATTCCCTAATTCATACAATGTACCAAGCAAAAACCATATTATTTCTTAGTGCAATGTATGAATAGCTTTATAACCTCCAGCTATGTGTAGACTCAGTGAGCTTTATCATTCTGTGGAGATTATTTCCTTATGATAGCTTAATTTATTTTTTCCACATAAAAAAGCAGATCCTGAAGATTCAAATATATTAAAATTTAAAGTGTAAAGAGATATGAAAAGTTTTGTAAGTCTAACTAATGTGCTTATTTTCCATGCAGCCTAAATGACAGATGAAATCAAAAGTATAATCACCTTATATTTTTTCCTGCAGAAAGGTGATAGACTATTATAAATTATTACAATTAATAAAAAACAGCAGAGAAAGAAAAATAGAAAAGGGTGACAGATCCAGGTTGAAAGAGTCATTAGGTGACCAGTAACATCAATGTGTTGATTTGATATTGAAACTGTTAGAATTATACTTTGGGACAAGTTAGCTTGGTTTGACTCCATATACTACAGATTTAAAATTTTATTAATTTTATTTTTGATGCAATCTCTGTAGGATTAAATATATGAATGTCAAAATATATCTCAACACCTCACCAAAATGTTTACAGCTATAGGTTTGCTATATAGATATAAATAAAAAAGTAACCTAATTTAAATTTGACTATCACCTGACTAGCTTTGAAATAGAATTGAATCATTAAAAATGCTTTCCTCCTTTTATATTCAGAATTAGATACACAACGAAATTTATAGCCAAAAGATTTAAATAACTACCGTCCAAAACATTCTTCTTAAAACATTCTCATAAAAACATCAGGCAACGACACTAGCTTAAATAGAAAATGAATCATATGAGAAACAAATTGTTGCCATAATTCGGTTCACAGATAAAATGCTTCCAAATATATATTGCTGGGGGAGGGGAAACAGATATGAAAAATTCGTAGAGACCATTCGTGAAGATCTGGGAAGAGGAGAGGGATCACATAAGCCCACCAAGCAGAATTTGCTGATATTCTATGAAATCATCAGGCATCGCACTCGACTTCCAAATCCCCCTTACTTTCAGGCAATTCCCGATCCATTTTCATTTTCTTTACCTTTTTCAACTCAAGATCCACCGGCGCCGCCATTTTAACTACTCCAAAAGCAGCTACGCATGCGCATTAAGCAACAGCTTTAACGGACGGCATAACGGTCCTTTGTTCCTGCTGAGTCGAGACATGCGTAGTATGGTGACGGCTAGTTTAGAAAGTTCCACGTTCGGTCGTTGTCTCCTCTTCTGTTTACCGGCAAATTTATCTTAAATCATTCAGTCGGCAGTTTTAATGTTTTCAATAAAAATACACAAGCTTTTTTGTTTTCTGTAAAAACAACAGCTCCTTCATGGTTCCCATATAAAAAAACATTGTATATTCAGTTACACAGTCGCCCCCCAATATTGGTATAACACCGCGAAGTGTTACACCTGTTGCATCTTACACCTGTCCCCGCCTCAAGTTTCCTCGCGTTTTGCAGCTAATAAGTTATCTGGGCAGTAAATGAATGCAATCTTGGAAGACTGCAAAAGAAAAGTAACCTAATTTTAAAATATGCTTTTGTCCTAATTTTCCCTGTGTATTTGTAGCCTTCTGTTAATGCAGAGATAAATATGTTTAACATATTTCTAATGCAGTTTTGTTAATATATTTTGTCATGTTCTTGAGCTATATCTCGTAATTTTTATCTGTTTTGGCATGACTTATTAAAAACAAACAAACTGAACATTGTAATAAATTCAGGGACTTGCAAAATACTTTGTGCATGAAATGGATCATGGCTTCAAAATCTAAAGGACTGGTTTGGACAAAACTCAGCAGCACTTTTTCGTGCAGCTGCTGATAAAAACAGGATCGCCAACATGATCGCCAACGTCCGATAACGGATATGGCACAAGAAGAAGAAGAAGATGAAATGGATGGTTTAGATTGTCCATGCTTTAACCAAAAGATGTTTTGGATGCTTTGTTCAAGGATTCAAATCAAAATAGGGTTTCTTTGTTTTGTATACTGGAGGTTTTTAAGAAGAGACTGGACAACCATTTGTCTGAAATGGTATAGGGTTTCCTGCCTGTGCAGGGGAGACTGGACTAGAAGACCTCCAAGGTACCTTCCAACATTAATAATAATAATAATAATAATAATAATAATAATAATAATAATAATAATAATAATAATAATAATAATAATAATAATAATATACATTAGACTTCAACCTCAGTCAACTGAACATTCAAATTGACTGGCGCTGATGTTGTTGTTGTTATTGTTATTATTATTATTATTATTATTATTATTCCATACAGATACTATTGTTCTGGGTAAATGGGATGCTGGGTGTTCTGTTTTACTTGCTTTGATTGGAAGTTGCTTTTTCAGATTGTTACTTTATAATTGCCTGAGCCAAAACAACAGAAAAGACCTGTCACTTCTATGTAGCTGTCACTTAGCTTTATGGAATTTTGGAACAAACAGTGGCAGTCATTCAAGGAACATGTAGCATAGAAGAAGCCACTCTGGATGCAATTGCTGTGATCTGACAGTGATCTGTCAGAAGAACAAATTTAATGTAAGGGACTATAAGATTCCATGCTGGAATGGTAGTGGTCCTTGATTTTCTTGTCTCCCTTTGAGACAACCGCTATAGCACCTTTATTTTCAGATTTGACTCAGTTGATGGCTTGAATAAAAGAAGGATTAGTTCCCTGTTCTTATTCCCTTGCAAATCAGTGCTCTTTTAAATGTTCAAAAGAATATTTCCTTCCTGTCAAACAAACCTCTTCCCCAAATGGGGGACCTAATTCTTCCAATTTGTTTTGGAAGAACTGGCATTAATAGCACTACTGTTTACTTGGTGTACATGTATACAGACAGACAGATATTAAATAATAGAGCTCTTTTTCTGTTTTAAAAAGGGGTTTTCTTTTAAGTTTCACCCCATCCCTTCTCATTCAATTTAAGACTAGCTAGCTTCTAAGACTAAGTTCTCCAAAATACATTCTGTCCCATTTTTAAAAAATGCATTGAATAAGCCAGTTATAGAGCAAATTAGAGCAGGGCTTTTCAACCAGTGGTACGGGTACAACCTCTGGTACATTGGCACCTGGCAGGTGGTACGCGACCATCCTAGAAAAGTGGTAGCGGGGGAGGGGAATGAGCTGAACCAGTGGCAGCACCGCACAAGCCTGAGCGAGAAATGGCTGGAGCTGCAGGGCTGTCACGGCTCAGCGGAAGCACCAGGTCAGGGCTCAGTGGGAGCGCCAGGATCAGCGCCAGGCTCCAGCTGGAGCTCAGCGCTGATCCTGGTGCTTCTGCTGAGCCCTGAAGAAGCACCAATCAGCTGGAAAGCAGCACTGATCCTGGTGCTTCTGCTGAGCCCAGAAGAAGCGCTGATCAACTGAAATGTTGCAGCATCTCCAGGCTCTTGTGATTTACATTCAGATTCTTGGCAACTGATTCATATTTATGACGGTCACAGTGTCCCAGGTTCATGTGAAGTGACCAAAACCTGCTGCAACCACCCAGCAGGCAGAGGGAATAAAAAACAAACACCCCCCACCCCACCCCCGTTGCCAATCCTCAACAGAAATGCTCACAACAATGAAAACCTCGGACAGGAGGAAGAGCGCTGCTGGGTGGGCAGGCAGGTGTCTTGCTCGGCTGTGCCTTGGGGGGCACTTTTTTCAGTGCCATTGTAACTTTGAACAGTCACTAAGCGAACTGTTGTAAGTCGAGGACTACCTGTACTTTATCACTTTTTTCCTTTTTTTTTTGGTCATCAAGTTTTTGACACCTTGCTAGGCGACTGATGGTACTTGGATATTGCCATATCCTAAAAGTGGTACAATGGGTGAAAAGGTTGAAAAGCCCTGAATTAGAGAAAGAGCATTGCCAAGGCTTTTGGGCTGAGGTTAATACTCCATAGGTTCAGCTGGAGACTTATTCAGAGACTTGAGTCTGAGTCCTGGGCCGTGACAGTCATAAGCCAAGAAACTCTTGCCTTGGCCAGCAGTGCAGAACTTTTTGTTCTGTACCATATGAGTGAACCTGAGAAAGTTAAGGAGGCATTTTAAGGTACATTTTTAAATATAGAAAAAAGCTTTTAGTCCTAATAAACAGTGCTTTTTTTGAAGAAAAAAAAAAAAGGTGCCGGAACTCACACACGTCATAAAACCCGCCTTGCCTGCCCTACAAGGTTCCATCCAAAAAAGGTGCCGGAAGTCCGTTCTGGGCGTTCTATGACAAAAAAAGCCCTGCTAATAAACATCTGTTGTTAATAAAATAGAAATATGACATTCACTTAGAGACACAGAAAAAGGGAAGTTCTAAAATAATCTATGGAGCAAAAAGGCCAGATATCCTGCAGTGCACACAAAGACAGAAGAAACACCAGAAAGGCACAGAGACTATTAAACTAAGAGCAAGTAAGCAAAATACAATTAAACTTAATATTAATAGATTAAGTGGAAGCGGGGATGCTATTTTTTCATGAATCTCCATTTGTTGGGAGAAAATGTTCTCAGTTATTTTGTATCAATTATAAGATGTTGATAATCATTTGTGTACTTCTGTTATTATGCAAGTGAAGTTATTCAGCTAATGATATGCAAATGATATAAATTGTATGGAATTTAGTCTGTTGTCTGTGAAGTCTATTGTATATATCAGTATGTATAGCTCCAAGGGTGAGAGGACACTCCACTTTCATTAAGAAAACACTTTCAACTTTTCACTGGTCAAGCCAAATTCTTTCTGAGTACTCTTGTCTCTTCTTTATAAAGGAAATCGACACTGCCATTGGTAGTCTGATAAGGCACCAGGCTTTCATGGCATTCATCCAGAATTCCTGATAAGCTCCGGGAGGCGCATATGGAATTGGATTGGTAAATTCCTCTCAGACATAGTTTCTAATGGTTGCCTCCCATCAGAATTAAAAAAACACTAAAATAATATCACTCCTGGCAAACCACAACACAGAGGTGAAAGCTACCATCCAATTGCCCTTTTGAGCTCCTGCTACAAACTCCTGGAAAGATTAATTATAAACAGGATAGGTCCCAAAATAGATGAACATCTGCCTATAGAACAAGACTCGAGCTGTGTAGACTAGGTGCTAAGCCTAACAGGCTATATTGAAGCAGGATTCCAATGAGGCGTGAAAACATGGCTGTGTTCGTAAGCCTAACTGCGGCATACCGCACAGTTTGGAAGGACGGGTTGTTATACAAACTATGCCATATTATCCCCTGCAAAAATCTCTGTCAGCTAATTAACATGCTGAGTGATGGGTCCTTTCCAATAATAATGGGAAACAATAAGTAAGGTTAGAAGGTTAAATAATGGTCTCCCACAAGGCTCTGTTATGGCATCTACACTATTCAGCTTATACATATCAGATATGCCGGCGACAAGGAGACACAAATTTGGATACACTGATGATTTGGCCATAGCTGTACAAGAAAAACACATGGAGGTGGCTGACAGCCTCCTCAAATCCAGGAAGCCCCTCCTGGCACTTGCATAACATCTGCCCAACAATCTTAACATAAATTCCTAATGAAAAGCCAAATGGGTTGCTCAGTTATAGGAAGACATATAAACAATCACATAAAAAAGGTATCAGGCTTTGAACTACCATGTCAGCAATGGACTGTCTTTATAACTGGGGCATAGTATCTTTCCCTCAGTGTTACTGCAAGGTCTCACATCATGTAGTAGATCACATCGTGATTGGCTGTAAGATATACTGGTCAAGTATCTGACTTTTTTAATATGTACAATGATGCGCTTCATTGGTTAGACATATTTGAACATAGGTCTTTTTGACATTTATATTTTATTGGATTCTACTAATCTAATTGAATTTATTTATACTGCTACTCCATGTATAATATGCCAGATACTAAATAAATAAACAATAACCAGTATATTAAAGTCTAGTATATTGAGATGTCATTATATACCATATTATACTATTCATATATGTATTATATGACTATATGATAAAAATATGAATTATAGAAACTTCTAAAC